TCTCTACAATAAATCAAAACATTAGCTGGGCATGGTGGCACATGCCTGTAGTTCTAACTACTTGCAAGGCTGAGGTGGAAGGATCGCCTGAGCCCAGCAGGTCGAGGCTGTGGTGGCTGTGAACATGCCACTGCACTCCAGCCTGGGTAACAGAGTGAGACTCCAACTCGAAAAAAAGCTAAGGTAAAGGGTCTTAGTTTAATAAGAAATCAAAAACTGTTTTACTTCCACAGCAAATAATCCAAGCACTGAAATTATTCTTATACATGCATTACTCTGCAGACATAGAACATAATACAGTAAGTCCTCACTTAACACCACCAATAGGTTCTTGAAAACATTCTAATTTCAAATATAGAAACTCTTAGTTGTACTTCCATCAAAATGAGGCTGTGGCCAGGCACAGTGACTCAAGCTTGTAGTCCCAGCACTTTGAGAAGCTGAAGTAAGAGGAACTCTTGAGCCCAGGATTTCAAGATTAGCCTAAACGACATAGCAAGACCCTGTCTCTACACAAAAATTTAAAAATTATCCAAGTGTGGTGGCATGCACCTGTGGCCCTAGCTACTTGGGAGGTTGAGGCAGGAGGATCACTTGAGCCCAGAAGTTCTAATCTGCAAAATGACATGCACTATAACAAAATGAATTTTATCACAGGCTAATTGGTATAAGCAAGAGTTAAGCTACTATGACTTACAGTATGTCATTTCACTTTAAGGTGCAGGTTCCAAGAACATATCAATGAAGTTAAGTGAAGACTCACTGTACCACTTTATCACCTGTTGGGTTTATTGGTTAAATGAGGAATGCAATGTAATATATTTGATGATAAACATCTATGACAGATATTGATGATTATTTCTCCTATCCCTATGCATTTGGAAAAAAAAACTAACTGGCCACTTGTCAAAAACAAATCAAAAGACTAGATGGTCTTTTGTTGAGCAAAGCCAGGTTTCCAGACACAAAGCGTTGCTAAGAGAAGCAGAAAATGTGAGTAGCCACAAGCCATACCAATCATGAAAACCACAAGCAAGGAACAGGACCAAGTATTCATAGGAGGTCATGGGTAGGTATCCCATAATACCTACCTACATCAACAGCCAGGTACAGTGGCTCACACCTATAATCCCAGCTACTCAGGAGGCTGAGGTGGAAAGATTGCTTGAACCAGGGAGTTTAAGTCCAGCCTCGGCAATATATTGAGACTGTCTCAAAAAAAAAAAAACTGAGTTCAAAGGCTTGTAAGTAGCAGAGAGAGATTCCAACACAGATCTATCTCACTCTAAAGCCTGAGTCCTCCTCACCCATCTTTACATATGTGCAGGGTAGGTGGGACTACAGGTCACCACCATGAGCCTTCTGAGTTTATGTTAAATAGGTTCCTAACATTAGAGTCAACATACTACAGATTATCATAAAAGGCTACTGATAATCCCCATAATTTGGCAATGAAAATATAACTGCCAGTAGGCAGTGAGATTAGCCCACCATATGAGAAGTGGTTCAATCAACATGATCATGTTGCAGTCTCAGTAAGACACGAATGCAATGACAACCAGAAAGAGGCTCAAGGATCTGTCTGAAGAGAGATGCATTAACAGCAGCAGTTAGCTTAGGAAAAAGACAACTTGGAAGAATTTATGAACACATCTCCAGGGAAAAGTACCCTGTCTGGCTTCTCTGAGTATCTGCTGTTGACTCATTTACCTGAGTGGAGATAGATGCAATGGCCATGAGTTAGAGCAGGGGTGCCCAACCCATGGGTTGCAGGCTGGTACCAGTCTGCAGCCTGTTAAGAACCAGCCTCACAGCAGGAAGTGAGCAGCCAGTGAGCAGAGCTCTGGTTTCTGTCAGATCAGCAGCAGCATTAGATTCTCATAGGAGTGTGGATCGTATTGTGAACTGCACATGGGAGGGATCTAGTTTGCGTGTTCCTTTTGAGAATCTGATGACTGATGATCTCCCTCTACTCCCTAACTCTCCCTCCTATCCATAGAAAAGTTGTCTTCCACAAACCAGTTCCTGATACCAAAAAGGTTGGGGACTGCTGAGTTAGGGAACATGAGAGACTACTTGACCCACTAACTCGTGCTATGCTGATTCTAAGCTCTCTCAAAAAATATTCTGATCATCATCTAATTTCTCAGAAGACATTCCTCCAGGAAGACTTGAATATGCTGACCAAATAATAAGAGCATGGTATTCCAAAAAGCAATTATATTCATCATTGGAAAAAATGACCCACTGCTTGGCAGTCATGATGCTGGGCACTTTTACATATGTTATATTATTTAATTTACAAACATAGGCAATGTATCATATTGAGAACCAAAAAAAAATTAAGTTGCTGACACTTTGACTTTCCCAGAATCATCAAGATAAAGGTGGCAGCGTAGGTGTGCAGCTTGGACACTAAAGCTTTATAAGAAATGTCCAACATCCAAAGATAATCTGGAAGGTAAAGGGGTGTCTAAAGACTTCCTGAAATATATGCAAAATTTTGGATTTATAAGCATGTACTCTAGGGGAAAGACCGAGAAATGTTAGCAAATTTTCAAAGTTGTTTCTTACACCAGAAATCTTTAAGGACTACCGGCTACTTTGAAGATGACATTATTTAATGATCATAGATTTAAGCTTCAGTCATGGGGAAATCATTTAATACTGTTTTAATTGCCATTAAAGCCATTCCAGTGCTAATTAATTAATAGTGAACCAGGCCTCACACTCAAATCTCATTATATGATTTTTTTCAGGGACTTTTTTCTACTCTTACCCTGTCATGTGATGGAGGGTGAGCAGTGAATAAACATGTTCCTGTTCTCTACCTAATGGCCTCCAGCTCCCTCCAGGAAAGTAGTACAGTGAGTACCAGAACCATGTCTAGTACTGTCCCATTTTGGGGTCAGAGCAATCAGCCATGTGCAGAAAGATTTAACACCTTCAATTTTGAATACTTGCTTTTTAGTTACTTTTAAATACACCTGCCAAATAGTCAAATCACATAAAGTTTCTTCAAGGGAGAATGCAATAGGTATTTTCAGGTTTCTTTTGCTCAAAATAACCATTTTCTACCTCACCCAGTAGAGAAAAGCATACACTATTTTCTCATTTCTTTCTCTTGCCAAACATTTTAAATAGTTCTTTTAAAATTCAGAAATCTAACCTAAATTTAGCAATGTGTAGCTACAGAATAAACTATAAAGTCATTGGCACCCATAAATAATTATAACAGTTGGCAGTAAAACTGACATTTAATTATAAGTCTTGCATGGGTGTTATAAAAATATCGCTTCAAGATGCTTTGTAAAGAAAAGAATATTCTACTCTGTTTGTAATTATCTAATTTCACAGTTAACCAAAAAGAATTTTGTGTCTTTTTTGATCACTTTTGCTCAAGGTCCTGAATTTTATCTTCCACTGCCAAGACTCTAGTACAGAATATAATTTAAATTGGAAGTATATTATAGAAGCATTCATATTGCAAACATTTGCTGCACACATAGTCATTACTGCAGTTAGTTATCTTACATATTCTGCTCTTTGAACTCTACTGACAAAATACAAGTATATTTACTTGGTATAAAAATGAGCTCAGAAAAAACGGCATTTAAAGGCTAGTTGTGTTTAAAAGTCTTAATGTAACTCTTGTTAGAAAGATTTAATGTGGTCTTTAAAATATCAGTGTTTTGAAATTTATTTATGTGAAAAGGAGTTTGCACCAATGCAAATTTTACTGACATAATGTTTGCTAAGTTAGTTGTTCCTATCATGATTTAAAGGCACTTTTGATACTGATTTTACTAATAAACCAGACAAGCCTATTATTTCAAGGAAGGTCACTTTTTAAAGGTTGTTTTTTGTTTCTGTTTCTCAGACTGAAAGTCATTTATCTTGTAACTGATGTAAGATAGTCCTTTTTCAATATTTTACACAATATGTCAAAGTTGAAGTTTTTACATTTAAGTCCATTATGTTTTCAGATGTTTTATTCTTAAATAAGCTTGATGGTTTAGAATTTAATAGGCATCAATCGACATATGAATGTGCAAGAAATATTTATTGCCTAAATTTTCTTTCAAAATGGCCATAGGCAAAAATGGTTTCAAGTTTTCCTGAAGTATGTATGGAGTATGGTTGTATAACTTGCCTAATATATAAGAAAATGAACATAAAACATTTTTTTTAAGTCAGAATCTCTTTTTTTTTTTCAATTTGGAGTCTCACTCTGTCACCCAGGTTGGAGTGCAGTGGCACATTCATGGCCACTGCAGCCTCAACCTGCTGGGCTCAGGCAATCCTTCCACCTCAGCCTTCCAAGGAGCTAGGACTACAGACATGCGCCACCATACCTGGCTAATTTTTTTGATTTATTGCAGAGACGAGGTCTTGCCAAGTTACCCAGGCTGGTCTCGAACTCTGGGCTCAGACAATCCTCTCGCCTCCACTTCCCAAAGTGCTGGGATTATAGGCATGAGCCATTACACCCAGCTTGAACATAAAATTTTAAACTTTGATGCTTTAAATCAGTAACATATATATGTGTACATGCTATTCCTATCATCCAGAAAAAGCAAACACAGAAGGGCAGAGATTCAATTTAGGTGTTTGTCCCAAGCACTGCCTATTGCATCGCTCTTATTCCATACCTAGGAAATAGTAATTCTGAACAAGAACAAAAAAGCTAGCCCTTCCTGAACTGCACTCCAGAAAATGACAGGGAGAAAATATTTTTTGTCAAGCAACATCCTCCACCAACCAAATGATCCCACTTTTTCTCAGAAACTATATCTCTGGTGTTGAGTTGTGTGCTTTTTCTAAACTTATTCCCACGCACCGCCAAGCCAATTTGCTTGCAGTCCCTGAAACACTCCTCACTAGAACCCGTCTCACTGCTCCAGCTGCTCCTTTCTTCCCCAGGTCTGAAATATGCTCCTCACTAACCCATGTCTCTGACATCCACATGTCCCCATTCATCCTGATCTTCCTGACCATACCTTTAATTTCCACATTCTTAAAAGAGGCCTACTACTTGGGATGGCATCCAAGCTGCTCAGTATATGGATGTTTTCTCTCCCTGTAAGGAGCAGAAACATAATCAGTTTTTTTTTTAAACTTTATGTCTCTTAATATCCAATTCTGAGCCGGGCGCAGTGGCTCATGCCTGTAATCCCAGCACTTTGGGAGGCCGAGGTGAGAGGAAGGTGAGAGGATTACTTGAGCCCAGGGGTTTGAGATCAGCCTGGGTAACTTGGTGAGACCTCATCTCTATAATAAAAAATCAAAAAATTAGCCAGGTATGGTAGCGCACACCTATAGTTACAGCTACTTGGAAGGCTGAGGCGGAAGGATTGCCTGAGCCCAGTATGTTGAGGCTGCAGTGGCCATGAGTGTGCCACTGCACTCCAGCCGGTGTGACAGAGTGAGACTCTGACTCAAATAATAATAATAATGTCCAATTCTGGTAGGCATTCTTTAAATGTATTTCTAAAGCAAAATAATAGTGCCATGCCTTCTTTTCCACTTAATCTAACTGAAGCCAAAACTGCACTTTCTATAGCAACTAGACATGCACAAAGAGATCAGTGAGCCATGTGAGGACTCCACATAAAGCCACGTGCACCCTGCACTGGCATGGTGGTTGATCTACCAGCTGTGAACGTGAAAACCCTCACCCGCAACCCACACCTGGACGAGAGCTTCCAAGCAACAGCAACACAAAGACACACATCCAACAATTTAGCATCAGGCCAGCCTTGCTCCAGACTCTAAAGCATTGAGACTCACAAGTGGACCCTGATCACTAGTCACATTAGCACAAGGGTGGGATCAGCAGTTGCTGGGCACTGCTAGGGGAAGGAAGGAGGGAGGAGGGGAGGGGACACGCGACAACACAAACAGTACCTGGTCTACTACCACGGGGAGTGAGGGCCACCTGGAAACCCAAACTTCACCCGCATGCTGCCTACATATGTAGTAAAACCTCACCTGCACTCCACAACTCTATAATAAACAAATAATTTTAAATAAAAAAGCAGGGCCCAGCGCTGTAGCTCACACCTATAATCCCAGCACTTTAGGAGACCCAGGTAAGAGGATTACCTGAGTCCATGAGTTCAAGACCAGCGTGAACAACTTGGTGAGACCTCATCTCTACAATAAAAATCAAAAAATTAGCCAAGTATGGTGGCACATGCCTGTAGTTCCAGCTATTTGGAAGGTTGAGGAGGAAGGATCACCAGAGCCCAACAGGTCAAGGCTAGAGCAGCCGTGAGTGTGCCACTGCACTCCAGTCTGGGCGACAGAGTGAGACTCCAACTCAGATAGATAGATAGATAGATAGATAGATAGATAGATAGATAGATAGATAGATAGATAGTAGATAGATAAGCAAGCAAGCAATGCAAAAAAAATTGTATGTTATATTTGCAGAGGCATATTTCTTGTCACCCCCTGATAACAGTGGATAAATAATTTATTAGTGGGGTTAACTGGAGCACGTAGTTGGGGCAGGGCGAAGAATGGAGATGGTAGGGTCAATAAGAAAACAGTTCCTCATGACTGACCTTCACCCAGCTCTCCTCAGGATTTACAGTTCCTTAATAATTATTCTCTTTGCCAGGCGTGGTGGCTCATACCTATAATTCTAGCACTTTGGGACGTGGAGGTAAGAGGATTGCCTGAGCCCAGGGGTTCAAGACCAGCCTGGGCAACTTGGTGATACCTTGTCTCTACAATAAATCAAAAAAATTAGCTGGGCATGGTGGTGCACACCTCTAGTTTCAGCTACTTGGAAGGCTGAGGCAGAAGGATCACTTGAGCCCAGCAGGTCAAGGCTGCGGTGGCTGTCAGAGTGCCACTGTACTCCAGCCTAGGGGACAGAGTGAGACTCCAATTCAAAAATTAATAATAACAGTTATAGCCGGGCTTGGTGGCTCAGCCTGTAATCCCGCACCTTGGGAGGCTGAGGTGAGTGGATTGCCTGTGCCCGCGGGTCCGAGACCCGCCTGGGCAGCGAGACCTCATCTCTACAAAAAATCAAAAAATCAGCCAGGCGTGGTAGTGCATGCCTGTAATTCCGGCTACTCGGAAGGCTGAGGCAGAAGAATTGCGGAGCCCAGCCGGTCGAGGCTGCGGTGGCCAGGAGTGGCCACTGCACTCCAGTCTGGGCGACAGAGTGAGACTCCAATTCAAAATAATAATAATAATAATAACAACAACAACAGTTATTATTCTGTTTCTTTATTGTACTCACTAACCCCTTCCCACTCACAAATATATCCAGACACTCACACACACATTCTATTCTGTACAGCTAAAGGCAGGGTCATCCTGCCCTTCCAAGCTCAGCCACAGGCTTGTCTCTCCCATCTCTTCCTCCACTGAATTCCTGCAGCAATTATATATAGTTTATTTTATTTTATTTTATTTTATTTGAGTCAGCGTCTCACTGTCACCCACACTGGAGTGCAGTGGCATGCTCCCGGCCACTGCAGCCTCGACCTGCTGGGCTCCAGCGATCCTTCCGCCTCAGCCTTCCAAGTAGCCAGAACTATAGGCACGCACAACCACGCCCAGCTAATTTTTTGATTTATTGTAGAGACGAGGTCTCGCCAAGTTGCCCCGGTGGGTCTCGAACCCACAGGTTCAGGCAATCCATTTGCCTCGGCCTCCCAAAGTGCTGGGATTACAGACTGAGCCACCAAGCCCGGCCCATATATAGTTTAAACGATATACTTCAGGGCTTAACTTTTAATTCCCATATTAGTCTCGATCTGCAGTGCA